ATCTTCATAAACCAGTCGCCCCCCCACCGCTCCTGCCTAATATCCTGGTCTTCTAATGTCATCTATCTTGGTGAATGGCGCTACCATCCACCCAATTCTAGGAGAAAAATATTCCATAGAGTCCACACATCCAATCCATTACCAAGTTCTATCATTTTTTATCTCGAGATTTCTAAATCCATGCCGGGGTGGTGGCTCACGCCTGTAATCCTAGCACTCTGGGAGGCCGAGGCGGGCGGATTGCTCGAGGTCAGGAGTTTGAAACCAGCCTGAGCAAGAGTGAGACCCCGTCTCTACTATAAATAGAAGGAAATTAATTGGCCAACTAATATATATAGAAAAAATTAGCTGGGCGTGGTGGTGCATGCCTGTAGTCCCAGCTACTCGGGAGGCTGAGGCAGAAGGATTGCTTGAGCCCAGGAGTTTGAGGTTGCTGTGAGCTAGGCTGATGCCATGGCACTCACTCTAGCCTAGATAAAAAGACTCTGTCACACACACACAAAAAAAAGATTTCTAAATCCAATTTCCCCCCTAACAGTCATCAACTGTATAAACAAAGATAATCATTACCTAGTTTCCTCTTGGTCTCCTTTTCATTCCTTATCACCTCTAGTCCAATGGCCAAAGAGCAGCCAGAGTTACCTTTATGAATAAAAATGTATCACCTGTATATTGGCCTCAAAAGTTCTTGGAATAAAATGGCTTAAGTGAACTTGATCTAACCTGTGACCACTTCTACAAGCTCATCTCATGCCATTCTCCCCTTCACTGGTGACACTGAAATGAACTTGATTCAAGTCTAGATCATTCTAAGACAAGAAGATCACAAATAGACAATTTAATGAAACGACTCAAAGAGCTGGAAAAAGAAGAACAGACCAACCCCAAACCCAGCAGAAGAAGTGAAATCAACAAGATCAAATCAGAACTAAACGAAATTGAAAACAGGAAAGCTATTCAGGAGATTAATAAAACAAAAAGTTGGTTCTTTGAAAAAATAAACAAAATTGACACACCATTGGCTAAGCTAACGAAAAGCAGAAAAGAGAAATCTCTAATAAGCTCCATCAGGAATAAAAAAGGAGATATCACAACTGATCCCAAAGAGATACAAGATACAATTTATGAATACTACAAAAATCTTTATGCACACAAACTGGAAAATGTGGAGGAAATGGACAAATTTCTAGAAACACACAGCCTCCCTAGGCTCAACCAGGAAGAAATAGATTCCCTGAACAGACCAATCTCAACAGCTGAAATAGAAACAGCAATTAAAAATCTCACCTCACTTTTTATCTTTAAGGCTGAAGAATGAAGATTGAATTTTAGAACTGTAGTTACCAAAGATAGATTATGGGAGAAGAACAAGCTAGTGTTTTCCTTTATAACATCTGTCACAGTTTGTATAGATGTGTGTATTAATCTGATGACATGCTATTCTCCATTAGCCCATAAGTTCTGAGATGCCCAGCCTTTCTGAAGTATCTGATACACAAAAAATACTCAACACACTCTCACTGAATAAATGAATGAATGCTAGCCTTGGAGTCTCTGTAATCTCTTTTGGTTGCTCATTCTTCCCACTATAACGCCACAGTGAAAATGCTTTTCTTATGTTTGGTATATATACTACTATGACTTATTGAATTATGAAATTCGATAGCCATGTAATAAAGACCTCAATGGTGAAGATTCTAAATCCAACTCTAACCCACCAATCCAGACAATGCTCCACTCTCCAGTATTCCAACACAGAGAGTATCCTGGGATGGAAATGCATACCACCATGATTTTCTGAGAAAACAGATTGTGAAACATGATTAAGTTGAACATGCTCTGCCTAGTCCATTCCAATCATTCATCTGTATGTACCTGAAAGGCATGAGAATAGGTGGGAAAACACATCCAATCTAGTAGAAGTATAGATTAAGATACCTGTCAATGGAATCTTTTCAATCAATTATTTTCCCATAACATACAGCCTGAAATAATAGCATGATACCACGACTGTCCTAAGATACCTGCAGTTATCATACAAACTAAAACATTTTCATCATTCAAAAGCCAAATAACAAATATATTTCATTTATATGAAAAAAACATAAAATATATAGGCAGAGAGGTTACTAAAAAAAAATGTTGACTTCTACAGAAACTTGGTTTAAAATGTGACTGGGTTGAAAATCATTATGTTTGACTAAAAAGTTTTGTTTTTATTTTTTAAATTATTTTTTATTTCAAAATATTAAGGAAGTACAAATGTTTTTGTTACATGGATAGCTTTATAATGCTTTAGGCAGGGCTATAACTATGCCCATCACCTGAATATTGCTCATTGAACCTCTTAAATAGGTCTCTACCCTTATCCTCCTCCCCATCTCCCCTTCTAAATTTGTTTTTGGCTTTTGAAATTCATGCAATATGAATGGTATACTGAGTTGTAGCCTTTTGAGCAAAGCAGCTCTGAACGTCATCAAAGTCATTTATGTTCAAAAATGAAATCTGCATTTTTAGCCACACCATTTAGTTATGAGAAATAGCACTGCCTATAACTGACAGAGATCTGGGCTTCTACTAATTATAACACAACAATTTTAGCTAACTATCCTTTGGTAATTTTTATTTTCAGATATAGTCAGCCACTCTGGGGTTTGTCCTTAAAATTTTCTGCATTGTCTTTAATCTTTCTTCAAACTTCCTGTTCCAATTCTCACAGTGTTTTTCATTATTACAGTCTAAGAAATATGAACAATGTGCTATCCATTCTGTGAGGGGAGGGAAACCCTTTTTAGGGATAAGATGGGTCAATTCCCACTTTACATGAAAAGATTACAAAATGTACAGAACAGCAAAAATTGGAGAGAAAAGGAAAAAAAATTCTGGGCTCAGTGGATGCTTTCTTATATATCTTCTTAAGAGAGGGTGGTAGAATCATTCATAATACAATGTAATCCTTTTAATTTCATAGTATACCTGCTCATGACATCTAAGTGAGAGATCAGATAGAATCTGAAGGCTACACCTAGCCTTGACTTGTTCTATCTGATGCAGACAGGTTTGGTCCAAGAAGTTCTTTTATAAAATTAAAATTTAGTATCCAATATTTAACAAGGTAAGACATTTGAAGTCAAGAATGATTCTTTATCTTGAAAAGTGATTAGCTTTGATAACATTGCTGCCACATTTTTTTTTTTATTTCAGCACATTACAGGAGTACAAATGTTTAGGTTATATATATTGCCTTTGCCTAATCCCCAGAAGGTGTGTACTAAAGCCAGGTAAAACATAGATACATCATAGATTCTGGCAAGATTTTGGTTAAAAACTATATGCACACATATAATTATTCATAAAGAGAATACTATATATGTGTTTATAAATACACACACATGTTCGCTTATACATAGTGCATGATAAAAGTATATATAATATGTATATTAAAATGATATAACAATTTAAATCAATAATCATGGAAATCATACCAGGATTGCAAAAGTATACAGTAAGGGGAAAAAGGAACTAAACTCTTTGTTCAAAATGGAGAGAAACTGAGAGAAGTAATTTAAACATAAAATTCTGGCTATTAGAGAAATATACACAAAGTACTTTAGTAAACTTAAAGGTAACAAATATAAACATCACATATAGCTTTCACTATATCCAGGGAAGATACAGGTTAAAAAAATACTTTACCTACAGGAAAAAAAAAAAAAAGAAAAGAAAAGAAAAGAGAAAACAAAGGAAAGAGGCAAAGCAATGCAAAAAACAGAACACACAGAATATAATGGCAAGAGCAAAGCTAATCCTTGTCATTATAAAAACAAAGAGTGAAAGAATACTCCATGTATTAAATGACACATCAATTTAATAATGGCTTATGGGGGAAGCAGAAAGAATACTAGCTCACTACACGAACACATTCCAATTTCAGAATTACTGAGGGGTAAGGAACTAACAGAAATCTTAGATCAAGGTAATTGTGACATTCATTATATACAAAACACACAACTAAACAAAGAAAGAGATTAGCAAAAAAAAAAAGAAACAAAAAGTAGAAAACAGGAGAAGATGAAAACTAAATTGGGTCTCTGGTGTCAGTTCCAAACTCCCTGGAGAAAGAATGTGACGTTTTTAGGTTGGGCCATGTGCTCACCCAGGTCCAATCAACAGGGTACAAATATGGCTTCCAGAGGTCAGCTGCAGGGCCCAGGGCTGCAGGTCATTTGTGAGGTCATCTGAGACAAAACCCCAAAAGTGGCCACCAATATTACCCTGTATGTACTATTTTCTTCCTTTCCTTATGTCTTCATTCCTTAATATTTTCAGGTTTGGCAGATGGAATTCTCTAATTTAAATGTTCTTCAAGAGCAAAGACTATTTCTGACAATTATTTCATATCCTTTTCAGTTCTAGCACAGTAGAAAGAACAGAGTAGGTGCTCAATAAAAGTATCCTTAACTGGATTCTTTCTCGTTCCCTAAACAGAATCCTTATATAATATTAAAATAGAACACACACACACACACACACACACACATGCACATTTTAAACTCTGATTTGAACAGTCTACTGAGGCCAAAAGAAATCATATTGAATTGTCTTCTCAACAATTTTATTTATTGAATTAATAAAACCCATGTATTGTTTCTGAAATCCAAAATGAGCACACACATTAAGTTATATATTTTTAACACATTGACTGCCACACTAGAAAAAAAAATGTTTTCCTTCAGGCCACGGTGTTTTATTAGAAAAATAGAATAAAAATTTTGAAAGCAAAAGGATCCTTTCTAATGTAATGAAAAATGTGGGGTTTTTTTTAATTGTTTTCTGTGCAATTTGAAAAATAGTTCTCACTGCTCCCAAGTTGAAGAGACATGTGAGTTACATATGCTTCAGGAGGCCCCAGGCTCAAAACTAACATGAGTTAAATACAACTCACATGGCAGTTAATGTGTTAACTGTTGGCTTTTCTAGATATGCAAACACAAACTTACAGGCAAACTGGAGTTTAGCTTCTCTGCTGACAATTGTTCCAAGTGAATTTGTTGCAAAACATTGGTAACTTCCTGTATCCCTGTTTCTGTTAGGGCTAATAACCACAAGATTGCCTCCATTCAACTTATAACGATGTTCCATACTCATATCAATATCACTTCCATTCAGCTGCCATCTGTAAAACAAATATCAAGTTTTTTTTCCCCTTCTTAGTATATTTAGCTTTATAAAAGAAGACTGTATTATAAAATCTACTTTAAACATTATCCCACTTATAAATAAAAGATGACACATACATTATTCAAGTGTTACATAACCGAAGAACAAATATGCCCAAGTATTTATCAGAAACAAAAGGTTAAAGTATAGCAGAAAGTACAACAGAGTAGCATCTAGAAGTTAAAGATTTTTTTTTAAAGTTTTCTGAAGAGATGAGAATAGTTTCATCTGTTCACTAGGGGAAAAATTAGGCTAGGTCTGAACAGGCAAAGATAAAGTAGAAAGTTGTAGTAATTATCTCTAATACTTCAGGCCAATCTCATGCTGGCAGTGAAAGAAGAAAAGAGGACATTTCTTTGATTTATCCGGATTGACTGAGCACATTTAATAAATTAATTGGATAAGTGCTCAACTATCCATTTCAATTTGTCTGGGTAAATACCTGTCCCCAAGGCATCCTCCACTTTTCTAAACCATCACAGTGCTCTTTACAAAATGGTACACTGCGGTAAAAGACAATAAACACCACCAAGGGGGTCTGAAAACGCAAAGGCACCAAAACCCCAGAGCCATACTTAATGGGAAGCCAAAATAAAAAAAGAAGAAAGAAAGAAGCTGGTTTTTAAACAAGAGTTTCTAAACTGAAACACTGAAGGTTTTTAAACTGAAGTATACTTGACGCATCAAAGTAGATTTTACCTTTATAAGTTCATTCCTATCCCACAATCTCAAGAATACATCCATTGTATAAAGTAAGGATGACCCAATTCCTATAGTAAAATTGTACTGCCATCAATTCTATAAATTTCCATATTATTATAACAACATTCATCTCAATTTCTCTTTGTAATAAAATTGAAAAAAAAATGGGTAACCTAAAGCTCACTGTATAGACGGGGATTTCAATAAGCCAGGTGTGTGAGTTATCACCTGTCTCAAAAACTATTAATTAGCTGGATCAGAAGTAGCACCGATTTAAATTATAGCTCAGAGTTCTTCAATGATCACATGGGTCATTGAAAAATTATTGTATTAAGACACAAAATATGTAATTTTCACATACTATATGCTGCAAAAGCATATAAAGAGATAAAACGTGGACATCATTTCAAATTGAAGTACATGAAATTAGATGGAATATTATACAGCTGTGAACATGGGTGAACTTTATAAACATGAAAAACTCTCACAAACAATGGTGAATAAGGAAGCAAATTAAAATGCCATTTATATAAAGTTTTAAAAGACTGAAAGTGATATTAGGAATTATTCTCATGTGTTTTAAAAATACATGAAAATTATAAACCTCAACATTAAGGTACTTTTTATAGCTCTCAAAGAGAGAAAGTGAGATGTGTTTAGGGTAAACAAGTGGCAAATTGGATTTTTTATTGTTTTGTTGTTTTATTTCTTTAAGTAATGGTATATGGACTTTCATCATTATACTTTATTGTATGTCTGTATTATTTTCCATATCTGAAATAATGCATAATACAATTCTAATGACCAGGGGGTACAAGAAATGAGTAAGCTTGTAAGTTTCATCCCCACTGCTTAAAGAAATATTTCATCATTTGCTCCTTTTTAAAATCAAGGCTTTCTTGATTTTTCTTTTTGAATTCACATACAAACATGCCAGATCTAAAGCTGCAATTCTAACAAAAGATTAAAACAAAATTAAGAGAAAAAACTAAAGAGCCCAAGTCTTTGTAACTTAAAAGAACAAAATTAGAAAGAAGTAGAAGGAGCCGTAACCTTTTTCATTTATGGGGGACTTCTGCCATTGGGTTTTGTTTGCTTTGCTTGTAAGAGCAGCTCTTTTATGATCCCCCAAGGCAAATCCATATTTGCATGAACATTTTAGCTCGCTTCCTTTTACTTTGACTTTAACTCTGCCCTTAGAGTTTTGAAGTGGAACTGTGAGCACTTATGGGCCCCCCTTCATCTTACTGCTCCCCAAGTCCTAGAACTACAGAAACCCAGAAAAGGAAATGAAATAAAGAAAAATCATCCATCCACATTCAGTCTGAACACTCTTCACACCAGCAGTGACATCATCATCTGAGAATTTGCTGGAAATGCAGGATCTTGTGCCCTGCCCCACATCTACGGCACAAGAATCTACCTCTTAATGAATTTCCCAAGTATTCACCATGCACAGTCAAGCTTGAGAAGAACTGATCTATACCACCCCCGACAAGCAACCATGGACTGCCTGTGGTGGACACGAGCAGAAATGAACTCCTCCCTCTCAATTTAGCTTATTTCATATTTAACAGCTCTGATTAGAAAGCTCTTTTTTCCCTTCTTTCCTTTTATTCCTTCCTTCCCTCTTTTTTCCTTCCTCCCACCCACCCTCCCTCTCAATCAGTCAGTGAGAAAAAAATTACTGAGTGTCCATACATAATGCAATTTTCTAGGTTCTGAAGTTGTGGTACAATTATCCCTGGCCTTCAGGTAGCTCAAATTTTTGCAGAGATTTTTTTTTTTTTCTAGTTTTCTAGCTTCTGCCCCAGCCTCACCACCACCCCCAGGCTCTCACCTTTCAAATAACAGCATCATGAAAAGACATGGGATTCAGGACCAAAGGGCTCATTGGCTTTTCACTGGACTGGCTCAATGGACTCAGCCCCCACCCGCTGCATGACTGTGGGCACATCACTTAACTCCCCATGAACATAAGCTTCTAACATGTAAAATGAGGAGAATTCCATCTTTTCCATAGCTTGTTCTATGGAGTTTTGTGTAGACAGTGTACTCAAAGCCCTCACATCAATGTTTCCATGAGGGAGGCATTCTACAAATGGGTAGACACCACTGCTGCTGTAGGTGCAGGCTCCATCCAAGCTCCAAGCATGCAAACCCATCCGTCCTGTTTGCTTTTTAGTCCATTCTCATCATCAAGCACATGTTGGTTATATTTCATCTCATTGATCATCTCCTTTTACGTGGAACAGACTGCGACTTCCACATGTGGCTTGTCTGCCTTGGTATCAGCCCTGAGATGTCAGGGAAAGTAGGATGAGACATATACTGGCCTTGACCTTTAAAGAATAAATCTGACAGTAAATCACAAGTGCTGGGCAGGTTTCATTTTCAAGCTGCAAATGGTTTGCCGGTTACTAAGTGAGTGAATGCTTGCAGTGAGAAAAAAAAAAAAAAAACTCTTCTAAACTCAAATCAGGAACCATGCGGTTAATTTCAAACTCTTTTGAATGGGAAGACTCTCGTGACAAAAGGAGCTTGTGTGTTTGTTACCTAAGAAGTGCATTTTGTAGAGGGAAAAAGAAAAAGCATTTTTAGCTCGGGAGTCAGAACGTTTATGGCCTGACTAAGCATGTCGGATGGCTTCATTTGAAAATTGTGTTTCTGTCTTTAGCTGATGAATAATCAAGGTACAGTGGCTATATGAAAATTGTAAAGATAAATAAAATATAGAGAAGCACTTCTTGCTTATTTAATAGCTGGGAAAGATTTAAAAGACCATGAAGTATGTGGGGAAATGCTTTATTTCATTAGGTGTCTAAGATCTAAAAGCTATCATCCTAACGTTTTGACTAAAGAACCAAAATGGAAAGATCATTCCATTATGCATAAATGCTTTCTCACTGCCTTTAGCTAGGTCTTCATCACATAGACACAATCCTTAGATTATTTCACTATGTGAAAAGGCGAAAACTGTTCTCTTTTAAATATGTTGCTGTTATACCAAAAGCGATAGTGCATTTGTTTTAGCAAACTCTTCAGAGCTAAGACATATTTGAGATAACTTAAAGAATGTTAATTTTCTTTTAACAAAACAATGTAATTATTTTTCTCCTTCCTAACTCTATTCATCATTGAATGGAACTCATCCCCAGGAGATATAAAATTTCTCAAAATCTTATTAAACATTGATTGTTTCTCGTCTCGCTGAAAATACGTGAATTCAAAATAAAGCTGTCTTTGCTTAAACTCTGAAATGCATAAGTTATCTCTGGGCCTAAGCTCCCAAAGGTTATTTTATCCTGAGAAACAAAATAGTGTATCTAAGTTCCTAATGCTAAATATTCATATTTGGACCTGATTTCTAAGTATGCCTCATATTTTCATCTGCATAAGAAATATTCAGGAAAACTGGTGGCATATGTAGTTCTTTCCTTCACAAAGTATGTGCCCAATAAATATTCAAATTAGACTCATTTTCTTTGTGGGAAACTGTAATCCAACTGTTCAGGCTCCATGAACACAACCCTTAGTAGTAAGGTGTAACAGGTAAATGGCACACTCAGGTCATAAATTTGGGAAGCTTTTAAAGGTAGATACTGACTTTTGGTTTTGCATATTCATAGTTTTTTTTTTTTTTATGAAAGTTACAAATTTCTTTTTTTATAAAGGAATTTCAAAGCTCACCAAGAACTCTAAGTATCAGAACGAAATCTTTTTAAAATATGGAAATTACTTAAAACTACATAAAATATATTTGCATACTCAAATTCCATTCCAAAAGGCTTAATGCAGTGATCTGGAGCAAAAGAAGCCAGCCCCGTGGCTCTTGGGGCTACATATACTAGCATTATAATCATATAACATTTACATTGTGCTCCAGAAGCAGACTAACCTTGTAGCTTTAGCTCAGTGGTAAATGTCACAAGATTAAGCACCTTTGCATAATCATCATGTTGTAACACTCCTGAATGATAAGTTCACTGTCAGCCTTCAGAGTTCAAATGCTCATTCTATACGAATTAGGATTTGCTTTTAGAATCTCAAGTGAGAAATGGTTTATTACTCGTATTTGACTAATCTACTGATTCTCAATGAGCTCTCATCCCCTTGAACTGGTTCACGTGGAGGTTCTCTGGAAACTTGAGTCTGGGCCAGTAACTAGAGATGAACACTTGGGGTGCTAGAATTGGAAGTCCAGGGTTACTGACCTACTGGATGATCAATCCATTTTTTCTAAACCCTAGTTAC